TTAATTCACAATAGCGTTATAACGTAGTTTTCACAATGTTTACTCTGTATTCACATTTACTGCTACCTGACATTTAGAAGCTACTACAGACTACAGCTAGTAGAGAAGACAAATCCCAATCACACTGACCATCGAACTATCCAGAAGAATTATTAATTTGCTACTAATATTAAAAGGGCATCAGAGAAAATAGGAAATAACATACCAGTAGTATTGCTTTTACTTGATTAACACTACGTTTGTTAAGTTTACAGTTGACGTTGTTATTTAATATTATTTTCAACTAATTTAATACTACTTATATGGATTGCGGTAACATTTCTGATAAAATAGTACAGTTCAAGTATTATTACTAGATTATTTGCTTTATTTTAAAATATTCTATAATATTAAATATGTAAAATAAAAACAGTAGTTTATATAAAGTGAACTAAGTAATTTAAACAGAAATAAATTAAAAATATTTTTTTATGTTCCAGGTATAAAATTGTTGTTAATAGCTAACAATAATTTGTTCTTATTTTAATTAAAGAATATTAATTTGATAATATTCTATATGCAAGACATTATAAGAATATAATTATATTACATCAATCTAACGAATTTTTAATATTGAAAAATAAACTGTTATATTAACGGTTTTTGTTTTGTTATTGGTATTTCCGAAAATTCACAAAAATCGGACTTAAAATAAAGGCTCGAAATGAATTATAAATTTTCGAGGTGTTCAGTTTTGCTGTTGAGTTAAATTGATAAAATGTATTTTTGTAAAACCTTAGTTTTTTAATAAAGTAAGTAGGTATATTTAATTTTTTGAGTATTGTTAAAAAATAATTCTTATTAATTGCTTCATATTTATATATTTTTAAATAAAGAAATTTACACAATAACTGTACTAGTTTTTTTTAAGCCTTGTATTACCTTCAAGAAACATCTGAAAACAAAATAATATTTTACTTGTATTTCCTTATTTTAATCAAAATGAAGAATTAAGAGTAATAGAAATCTCATTTTTTATATTTCTAATCAACATTTATTTCAGAGATAAAATAAATACAATACAGCTACTACTTACATCCCATTCAATATTTAATTATTCTCAATTTAATACTGTATTACTTATATCATTTGAATTTTCTTTTAATTTTAACACCTTTATTTGTACCAGTATGCTTGATGGGTACTTGTATTAAGTGCAAAAAATCATTTTTCAATACAAAACGACCTACCCAAACCAGTATAGGTAGGTACATTATTAGCTTTTTAATACTTAAAATTTGATGGTTGACTGAATGCACTTATTTTTGAACCTTCCCGCCAACGCATCCTAACCGCACCTATTTTTGATTGGTCAGGACTTTGTGTAACTCACCTCTCCCTAGACGCTAGTCGTGTTGTCGGGGGTGATCAGTAGATGATAATATTTTCTTGAATTTGTGTTTGTGTAGCGTGCAAATTTTGAGTTATATTTTATTTTTATTTGTTTGTAGTGTTTTCTTTTGAGTAGTGACTTACTTGTGTTAAAATGCCGAAATATTTAGATAGTCAAGCAAAGGAAATAATATTTCATCTATTCGAATATTTTATGAAAAATAATGTTCCTCGACAACAAATAGTTTTGAAAAAAAAAAAAACAACGATTATAGTGAAACTTATAGACAATGTGTTGTCCCAAAACTCTTACTGAAATTAAAAAACAAGTTGCTGAAGCTACAGGATACTCGCTAAAAACAATTGAACGAATAATTATAGAAGAATAATTATAGAAGCTGAGATATCAAAAGGTGAAAAGTCTACGACGACCATACCTAAACAATGGGCGATGTTCACATGTGAGATATGCTGTTTTATAAATTATATTATAATACTTAGTCGCTATACTAGTTATTCTAAAAAATCAGCTCGTTAAAAAAGCCAAAAGTTTTTAAATTAAGCCCAATTGAAATTTAAAATTTAATATGTATACGTCATCGGGAATAGACCAATCCGCTTGTGTCGAAGTTTTTTTTGTTATACAAAACCAAGCCAACGAACAAACCGACACACAGAATGTCAAAGTGAATGCACATCTTAGTGACGTGTCAATTTTGACATCACCTAACCTAACATTCGTTGTTGTTTTCTCAATTTATTTCTTTTGTCTTTGCCAATTGGTTTAATTTTATTATTAATATAAGTTTGTTAGCTGGATTTATAAAAGCTGATTCAAGTGTTTTACCCATTATAAACCAAGATATGACTACTGCATTTTTTAACAATATTCAGTGAAAAAGTTAAGCCTGTTAAAAGACAGAAAGGTATGTTAAATTTTATTTAGAATTTGTTTTAATAGTAGTTACAATTTATATGGGGTAATACCTTATAGTAAAAAAAATATTTATCTTGGGCTATTAGGATTATCGAACACTAACAGTTTTTTTTTAAATAAACCTTTTACCACCCTGTTATATTTTGGAATACCCTCATTTATATGTATAGGAAAAACATATTTTTCCCATAATATATCAGCGTATACTGATATCCAAAAATATAACACTAAAAACTGAAAGGATATATCTATACCATGCAGTAGAGTGAGAGAGAGCAGAGCAATTCGGTTTTTTAAAGCTTTTTTCTAAAAACCACACCCCATTTTTGGGATATTTTTAGACTCTTGAAATATTGTAAAACTTTACTAAACAAATTGTCACTTTTAAATAATACAGGGTGCTTTTTTGGAACAAAGTCAGCAGGACACTTTAATTTTTTAATTTGTTTCTTTATATATAAAAACAACTACTTATGACACATGTTTAGCGTTTAGGCTATTTTAAAATCCTAAAAATGTGGTAAGTATATTTGTTTTCAGAAAAAAAACTTTGAAGTCAACAAAATTGCGAATTTTTTTAAATATGCTAAATTTTGAATATTTTATAATATTGTTGGAGCCAAAAAAGTGGTGTGGTTTAAAAAAAAAACTGGAGTGCTCTGCTGGATTCGTTTAAAGCTAACAAAGCATCCCGTAATTTTTTATTTTATAATACTCAATAGCCTAAGAATAGCCTAAAATGCGACATAGCTGTTTAAAAAACATTTGATATTATATATTTAAAAAATATTTGTTAAACGATCTTTTAGAAGTTTAAAAGTAAGAAGGAATACACAAACGAACGTACATCACTTCTCGTAAACCTTCTAACCGGCAACGTTGTGGCGCTAGGCTAGCTCCTATTGGTCTATTCCCGGTGACGTCATAAATTTTAAAAAACTCATAACTCTGGCAAATGAATAGATAAAAAAAAATTTAAAAAAATGCAGCTTTATTTTCGTCTCTATTATTCATAAAAAAATTCAAAATTTTTGAACATGCCCCATTGGACAGACGATTCAACAAAAGGTTTGTTTTTTGTTATTTCTAAAGGCCAAAGGCTTATTATAGTTCACGGTGGGGAAGAAATGGGTTTTATCAAAAATAGTTTGTTGATATTCAAATCAGGGACCAAGTCTGGAGATCATCATTCCGAAATAAATTCGGAAAATTACGGCAAATGGTTAAGAGAGAAGTTATACCTAATCTTCCACCTCATTCAGTAATTGTTTGTGATAATGCTAGTTATCACAATGTACAGACAAATCGAGCACCTAATTCCAATTCTTTGAAAAATGATATGATCGAATGGTTGACAAAATACAACATACCTTTTAATCCAACAAGTTTGAAACCAGAGATATATCAACTGATTAAATCTCATAAGGACCGACATGTAACATATGCATTTGATGAGTTGTGTCGAGAATACGGCCACACCGCTTTACGGTTACCCCTATATCACCCCGACTTGAACTCTATCGAATTGATTTGGGTAATGTAACGTTTAAATTTGGTCTTATAGCGGTTTTTCATAAAAATAAGAATACACTAGTTTTTATCCGTGTACAATAATTATTTAATGGGTCCTTCTATACCCGCATTTTTAACCACTGTGCTTTTGGGTTCGATATTCGAACAGAGGGTCCCTTTGCGACAGTCTGAGTGAGCATGTGGCTGCCCTGTATTTTAGATCAGTCTAGCGTTTCCGATCTGACGTTAACTGTGAGTATATGATCAGTTTTGGGTAGATAGGACCTCTATTTGAGTTTAGTTAGGCTGTTTATTTCGTTTTAGAGGCTTTGTTTGCCTATTTTAGCCCTTTCTGTCAAGAATTTATTTCGTAATAGAGGGCGCTGATGGGACACCTATCTGTCACTGAGGTATGTTGGTATTACTGTTTTTTTTTTGAAGTGACATTGGTTTCCGCCTTCTCGAATATTTTTCGTGATTGATGTTCGACACGAGGTTTTAATTTGAAAGATTGTTTCAAAATTTATTGGAAGTCGTTTCAATCCATTTGGGATATTGCGAAGCAACCTTTTGTGTTAAGTTACAACAGTGTGGATTTGGTAGTATTTTTTGGTGTCCACATGTTGTAGGAGCTCCTAGGAGGATATATTTAAACACGTGTTGATTCTCATTGGTGAGTTTTTTCTACCCAGTATTTAAAGTTACAACGTAGATATTCTTTTGTAAGACCTTTCGTTCTTTTATTTCAGTGCCCACATATATGTATGTAGTCTTTCTGAATAAGCCGTTCACGAATTTGCCGTTAAATTGATCATAGTTTCGTCCCTCTATTTAGCTTAAGAATAATGTCAGTCAAAGGAATGTTACCTTTAAATTAGAAGAAGTAAAACAATTAGCAGAAGAAGAATTTAACAAAATCATAGCATTATAAATGCGCGTCCTTTGTTCTTTAGATTTGGCGTTTACTGTATTATCCTCTGTTTACCTATTTACTCGACATGTGTGTTGTTAACGCTTGGCTAATTTATAAACAAGATTGTGTTTTATCCTACATACCTGTTTTATCCAACGGTCCCTTAGAGATAAATTAAAGTTTATCTAATTTGTAAATTAGGCGAATAAATAATTACCCAAATTGTAGGTTGATAGTCATTTAGAAAAAAATTTAGCTACTACTTACTCCGAAAGGAACCATTTCTACTACAAGCGAGTCTCCGAGTACTTGGGCGGCTGGATACAGTTGAGTTACTATAAATTGTTTGCAAGTTGGACATAATCCCTCAGTATACAATGTCAGGTTCACCTGCGTTAGTATTTCCTATAAAACAAATTTATTATTCAACAAGCACATTCATATAAATTAAATTCGGTACAAATGTATGGGACTATATAAAAGCTTTGTCGCTGGTTAACTGTGAACGGTATTCAAAACACTAGTCTCAATCTAGTCTGTAAATGAGGACCCATAACCAAGAAAATTTTGAGGAAATTAGTGCAATACAAAAAAAATAGGAACAAATTCCTGGCGAGGTCAAAATTGCCCGGGAGTAGAACGTTTGACCCGTGTTCCGACATGGCCAAAAGAGTCAAGCGTGACTCAAGTCACAGGGTATAATAGCAGCAGAATTCCTCTTTCACATGAACTTTGAATCATGAGAAAATATGCATTTTTAACAAAGTTATTGAATAATTTGTCCCCCCGCTGATGTGTAAATATACGAACTGTGCTCTCCGGCATACAACACAGAAGCTCATTATTCAAGGCGTGCCGTTTTTTATCGAAACCGGGCAAATTTTCGAGAAAAATCATAAGGACCATTTTTGTAGAAAATTAACTGAACTTTAATTTTTATCTGAACCAAAAATCTCTAACTGCCATATTTTAGGATATATTGGCTGAAAACCTATATTTCTGGTCTTTTGGAGCCATTTTCTCGGCCATCGCACGCGTTTCCACGCAAACTTTGTCCCATGTTTAATGAGGTACCAAAAGCTACTTCCAACCGGAAGATGAAAATAGGGCGTAATTAAGTCCAACTTTATCCCTTTATTTATTGGACTAAATGTTATGAAATATCCAATGAAGACATCATATTTTTGTATTCTTCGACTCTTTCATCATTGCTGTCTAATAAGTCTATATTTGTGTCACCTGTTATTATGCTAATATCGTATTTTTTTAATCAATTGAAATAATTAAATAAATTCTGATTAAATTTTTTTTAGACAAGTGCTATTTGATCGATATATGGATTTATTTTCAATATTTTAAATTTTTTTTGCAGTGAGAAAGATAGAAACTACTTTAATATCCCCAATATATTCAAAACCCCGTCATTTTGGTTTAGATTTCCATTATTGTATATACTTTCATATCCTTGAATGTTGAAGATATTATGATCATGTAGCTGATAATATTGTCTAATCGAATTAGCGTGTATGTTATCTAATAATACAAACAGTTCATTCTTGGTTTTTGCTACGATGTGATTGTTCATATGAAAAATTTTAAAGTCTGTAACGTTAATATAATTCGTAAATGTTACTGGGATCTGAATTTCAGTTTGAATGAATTGGATCATTTTGATAGTCCCTAATATTCATCTCAATTAATATTAAAAAATAAATAATAACTATTCTTGAAAATATATTCTATGAATACATTTAAAGTTCTCAGGTACATGATATTTTGACATAATCAAATTAGCTAAATTACCGTTTATTAGTGTTTAATTTTTCAAGTGCATATCTATAGTAAAGGCCTATAACTGATGAATAATTAGGGGACCAAACTCCCAAAAGTTTACAGAGATTATCGAGATAATTAGCCCTAAGGGATGCACTTGAACTGATAGAATTAAAACTAAATTTTTCCTGAATATATATATAATAAAAAAATAATTAAAATTTTTAAATCATTCGTTAAAAAATCTGTATTTTTTAAATAGAATATTTACCTGTGCTCTGCAGGAAATGCAGAATAAACTAACGATTAATAATATGGTCTTGGAGATAAACATTTTTGTGTGTCGATTTAAAAAATATAATTGATTATTTTTGTAATTTCCTATTTATAATAAGTAAAAACCACTTAAGTATATCAGAAGATTACATATTTTATTAAGATTTAATAAGTTAATCAATAGTATTATGTTTTAATCTTAAATAAATAATCCCCTTATTCTTAATAAAAAAAAATACCGTGGTATTTTAAATAAAAAATCCCCTTATTTTTATTAAAAAAAATACCATGCTACTTTAGATTAATATAGGATCTTATTATTTATTAAATTTATTAAAAAATGTCATCATTTAATATTGATACGAGTCCGTGAAATAATGTTTTGGCGCACTAGTCGTATTTTAAGGCATAAACCATGTGTATCATACACAATTTTACCTACGACTTCTTCAAACAATTTAAATCAGATATGGAAAAATATTTAAGTCAACACTTTTTTATATAAATATTTTCTTGATTCTTTCGGTAATATTTTTTTTTACTTTCCTATCTTTCCCATGGACATCCACTATAAATATAAATATATCAAAGTCTAAGCGCGGACGCAAACCATCGTGAATATCTACTAGATTTAATTTTTGATTTTGTTTCCTAAGTATAGATGGCGATACCACTTTCGTATCTACTCATGCTTAACCCGCCGTAATTGAGTTCGATCGACATTTTTTCACAATCAGACTTCATTAGAGACTGGAGTCGAGAAGTTCCATTTATTGCTGAAGATTCCTAATAAGGATGACTTTCTCCTTAGTGGGCAAAATCAAAGGCAGATTGTTGGAAATATTTTTTACCTCTATTTTCTTTCGACGTTATTCAATAATCATTGGTTACTTATGAACCTCTACTAAAAATACTTATAAAATATTTATCTGAATTTCTATATCCTGGGATATAGACGGACATATTTGGTTGGATATCCACAAAATATATTCTGTGGATATCTCTGGTATTACTTGTATTGTCTGGAGATACTCATTAGATATTTTGCTGAATATCCATAGGATATCTTCTATATTCTGGATATAGACGGACATTTGGATATCCATATTAGATCCACGGAATATTTCTGATATCCTGTGGATTATTGGATATCCACAAAAGATATTCTGTGGATTTATCTGGGATTTGGTGTGTTGTCTGGGTAATAATTACTAATTATCAAACACCAATGTATTTTCTATCAATTAGTTTTTGAATTATCGTTTTTACCACTAAAATTTAAAAATCAAAGACAAAGTCAAATTAAAGTATAATTAGAATACTTTTGAACGATGATATAAAATACAGGGTGAACCATTAAAAAAATGAGACAATTATGTATTTGTGTTTTGACTCACCCTGTACAGATTTGATGCGAATTGAAAAAAGTAGTGACTCCAGATAAAAGTTGACCATGATTGAAAAATTGTGGCAAAAAAAATTGGTTATCGATGGTTTTTTTTGCATGATATAGGTCATTGAATTCAACTGAGATGCGAGGACTCTTCCCGTCAAGGCAATGTTGCCACTTGTAATATAATTATGGAATTGTAACATAATTTTTCCCTAAAATTAAGTTAATAGTTAAGTTAACATATTTTTTTAGTCTAGGGATTTGAATTTGAAAATTTCTTTCAAATTTGTATGTGGTTATGGCTCTATCAGTAGGCATAGCTAGAATATTATCCCTTTGTACTTGCTGATATAGCCTTGTGTGGTCGGCGCTGTGTAGTTGGCTTATTGGGTTTTGTCCCTGCATTAGCCTGTGAATAGCTGACCTGGTTTCTCCTTGTATGAAGATGTGCAATGGCGTGAGATTTAGTAATACCTCCATTGCTGCGGTCGGCGTAGTGCGCATGGCCCCAGTAGCACTTAGACAGGCAAGCCGCTGAATGCTAGTGAGTTGGCCTATTGCACTTGCCTGCGCAGTTTTGGTTACCCACGCCACTGCGCCATAGGTTATCATGGGTCTTATTACCCTTGTGTATAACCATATGGTCATTTTGGGGTTTAGACCCCAGTTTTTCCCACATATTCTTCTACAGCTTACGAGAGCTATTGTAGCTTTATGTGTGAGTTTTTTAAGATGTTGATTCCATGTCAGCCTTTGGTCAAATATGACTCCGAGGTATTTGGCTTCTGTGACGAATGGGATAATTGTGCTGTTTAGTACTAGTGGTCTTAGACCTGTGAGTACCCGTTTTTTTGTGAATGGTACAACTGTTGTTTTTTGTGCGTTGATGGACAATTGTTCCTTTTTGCACCAGTTGTTCACTATGTTTAGAGCTGTTTGAGATCGCTCCGAAACTGTACCTGTAAATCGCCCCCTGACGATGATTGCTAGGTCGTCTGCGTATCCTAGGCACTGGTAGCCTTCTTTGGACAATATTTTGAGTAAGTCGTCCACGAGAACTGACCACAGCATTGGAGATAGTATTCCTCCTTGTGGGCAGCCCCGTGTAACTTTTGCCTGTATGGTTGCCTTTCCTAGAGTGGATAAAATAATCCTGTTCTCTAGACAGGCAGTGATCCATTGGCATATTGTTACTGGGACGTTTCTCCCTTCTAGAGCCTTGGTTATTGACCTGGTTGAGGCATTGTTGAAAGCTCCTTCAATACCTAAGAAAGTGGCTATTACGATTTCTTTGTCATCTATTGACTTTGAAAGCAGCCTGTTTAGATCGTCCAGCGCTAGGTCAGTTGACTTTCCTGGCTGGTATGCATATTGGTTGGGATGGAGCGGATTTATTTTTAGTATATCGTCCCTGATATACCTATCTATTAATCTTTCTAGTCCGAGAATCCTGGAAACAGGGACCTCCCGTACAGGCTGAACTCGTCTGGTACACAGACGGTTCAAAAACCAAGGAAGGAGCCGGTGCTGGAATCTATGGACCTAAGTCGAAATCAACGATTTCACTAAGCTTAGGAAAATATGCAACAGTGTTCCAGGCTGAGCTAATAGCCATACAACACTGTGCAAGAGAAATATTAAATCAGCAAGTATCAGGCAAAACTATTGCCATATACTCTGATAGCCAAGCAGCTCTAAAGGCAATTCTCTCACCAGAAATCAAATCACGACTGGTGAAAGACTGTCTAGAAGACCTGACAGAGCTAAGTAGTCAAAATAAGGTGACCTTAGCCTGGGTTCCAGGCCATGAGGGATATCAGGGCAACGAAAAGGCCGACGAATTAGCCCAAGAAGGCTCAGATAAGGCCATGACAGGCCCTGGACCCTTTTGTGGAGTCGCTAAGGCATTGTGCAAGGCATCCATTAAACAATGGATGCAAAAAGAGTCTCAGGAATGGTGGAACAACTATCCAAGACTGAGACAGGCCAAACAGTTCATCAAGGAACCATCGGCCAAGTTTACGAAAGACCTACTGGATCAAAAACGTCAAATCGTTAGGATAACAGTAGGCCTTCTTACTGGACACTGTCGCCTTAAAAGGCACATGAGTGTCATAAATCCAGCAGAAGAAGCAACTTTGTGCAGGTTCTGTGAAGAAGAGGAAACATCATTCCACGTCCTGTGCCAATGTGAAGGCTTGGCTGGAATGAGGTTTCTAACATTGGGCGAAGAAAAGCCAATTACATGCGGGAGCCACTGTCAAAGCTACTAAGTCTAATAAAAAAGACCAGGCTAGACGACATACTCTAAAACAAACGGAGTCCCACAATAGATCTGAAAAGGTCGCGGTGGACAAGGACAAATAACGTCCAACTCCTAATCTAATCTAATCTAGGGATTTTTTAACCTCGCAGGTTTTATTCTTATTGCACAAAACCAATTTAACAATTTAAAATTATTTTTTTTAATCAATGCTGCCCCCTCTTGGCAAATAAAAAAAACTATATTACAATAAAAGTCAAAGAACCATCTTTCACGGAGCGGGGAATCCCTTTGACTACACAGGGTTCCCTAGAATTGTAAATCCGGAAAACATTGAACTTATCACCTTGTGTAAGAAATTGGTAATCAGTGGCGGCTATATTGCCAATTTGCCAGGTCTGTGATTGCCAGTCAGAATTAAATGAAACACTAATTATTAATTGACAAATACTGGTACAAAATTTAAAAATCGAGACTTATATAAACACGACGAACATGGAAATGTCGATGTTCATTTTGACACCGAATAATTTTGTTTTAGATTTAAGTTTTTGTGTTATTTTTTGATATTTTATTTTTTATGGGATTATAAATGAATAAAAATAAATATGACGTGTTTTTTTCCAAAACAACAAAATAAAGAAAATTGTAACATAATTTTCAAGAAAAATCGATAATTTTGGCAGCATTGCACGATAATTTCTTCATCGGATGGTGGCAACACTGCGTCAAAGTGAGTTACCCTCAGTGATGCCACTGCTACCGCTTAATCGGTAGATCTACCGATTTTGATATTAATCTGTACAACTCTACCGATATACCGATTTTTTAGGCAATCCACCGACTTTTCTTATAATATACAAATATTCACTTAACTTTGCATTTTGTACAAACTTTCTTAAGACCCAACTCAACTTTTTTCTTAGGTCAGAAAACGATTTTTAATTCGAAGTAATACAAGACATCACTTTAAATTTCTATCTGTTAATGTCAACAAATACGTAACACGATGAGTTTATTAAAACGAATGTCTCGAATTAGCACGGTTGCAAATTGGCGACACCTAATCGATAATATATTTTTAATTTTACCTGAAATAATTAGCACAAAAATAAAAGAGTGTATTTTACGTTTTAGCTTTTAAATACCATACAAAATTGGGAAAAGTCCATAACTTTAAATATTTGTTAAATATCGCCTATTAAAATATTATGCATTAGAAGTAAAACAACTATAGACGTTCCACCATTCTTTACCGTACTTTGAACATACACTAGCAATCGGGGTAGTGTTGCATAAACATCGATAGTATATCGATAGTATCGATAGTATCGATAGTATCGATAGTATCGATAGTATCGATAGTATCGATAGTATCGATAGTAAATCAACTATCGGAACAATCGATAGTTTTATAAAGAACTAT